CTGCTTCGCTAATATGCAGTCAAGTACACCTGGGGCTGTCCTAATATACCCTTGATAGTGAACCAAGATAATTAGCAGCCTTGAGATAATACGAGTGTCTACAGTGATATTATCATAGTAGTGTGTTCCTGCATTATTCCTGAACCCGGGTGCCACCCCTCATGCTCTTCAGGTCTTATTTTTTGTAACAGTGGGAATCCTTCGACGTCGATAGACACTAAACTGGCACTGAATAATGGTCCTTCGACCTCGGAATGTATTGTACCAGATAGGTCTATTACAGTATAATACTCACATCAGCCTGGAATAAGGGTCCCAGTGGTCTTCAACTATACTCCTTAAAATACTCCTTAAAATACTCCTTAAAATACTCCTTAAAATACTTCTTAAAATACTCCTATCGCAGGAACATTGACAGGGGATATTGTAGCCATGAGTGTGGAATATTGAATATATCAATTTCTTGATATAGATATATTCGCTTGTTCGAACAAAATCGGGTATTCTAGGTGAAACAACACTTGTCTCTCCTTATCCAGATGCTTAATACTCTCTGTTCAATCCCAAGAGACCATAACTTTGTCAGATATGGCGAAACTGGACGTCCAGTCATCTCCTCACATTTTTCATATTATATATCTACGGGCCTCATATACTCTTTCTTACTTTTTTCTCTACTAAGAAAGCTGATTATACCGCTTTGTCCCTGTATCCCTGAGCCCCTCACAACCAGACAATAACAGGTCTGGCTTTTTCATAGCTCATTAAGTCCAAATCAGGCGTTACTTGTCCTGCTTCAAATCATTATTATGGTCCATGCTTATTATATTATGTCAGAGTTCTTTCTTCCAGCTGATTGAACCTGGGACAGAGTGATATGGCATGAAGGCTTTAGAAATATATATATAAAAGTATTAAAATTGATTGAATAAGACCTGACTGGTTCTCTCCAAAAGTAGGAAAGCGTAGGATAAAAATAATCTAATTGAGATCTGATTGAAATTAGCTCGAACAATTATCTAAGATATTTACGTTGTCTATGATGGTTCTCTGTTGGTTGTGGCAGTGATTTGTCTGGATTTTGCCGGTCAGACTACTATGGTTTCCTTAAGTTGTTTCTTAAACAAGGCAGGAAAGACTAAGAAATGAGCCGGCAGAGCTTACCGAAGGCAGCCGGATGATGGAGGTGGTTGGGTCTGGAAATCACTGAGACCTGAGGAACTAACATCTAAAACTTCGTGTGTTATCAAGTTATTGGCATTGTTGCTACAAACCGCAATTTCTACAGGTAGAAGGTAATTACGATATACAAAGATCTCAGTAGTTACTTGACATCAATGCTGACAAGCCAAGATATTTCTAAGCTGAGTTATCTATCTAGTTATAATACTAAAAGCATAGCTTCAAGACATTGAAGCTCGTGATCATCAACTATCATTAAGTTATTTAATTAAGTTGTGCCATGTTCCGTCACCGACAGTTATAAGTGGAGATTGCATATGAGAGACTTACACGCAGACATGGACAGCATATCCGGCATGTTACGAAGCATATAGATAAGCTTTGTAAGGGCTGGTTGAAGAATCTGAGTTTTTATTGGGAATTTGGCATTCGGCTCAAGATATAGCTTTATACTGCTAGCCTGGATTGTAACATACTGCTTTCCCTAAGATGCTTTTCTCAGCCCAGGCCCCACAGTTCTACTTCCATATCTTGTTAATATCCTGACAAAGCATGATACTCTGGTTATATGAAAAGTATCTGCTTTGATAAGGACTCAGCAGCCCTTATACGCATCCTATAGAGCGCAAAACATAAGCTATGTATCTACAAGGGATATTACCTTTATCACCGGGAATCTTAGTAAGATATGCATTCAGGATGCACAAATCTACAAAAGTGAGTTGTACTTATCTTTAGTCTTCCAGTTAATGTATTCCACGGTTGTGCGGTCCACCCCCCCCCCCCTGGTATGATTGCTTGACATGATCAAAATAAAGCCTTTAGATCAATATGCATTCATATATGTGCCATATATTTATTTGCTAGGTGGTTTAGCGCACCATGTATGTTGTTGACAAATATTGAAGAAGCTGCTGCAATGTGGAGGCGCGCACGAGGGCTTCTCCGTAGGTTGAGGCTGAGCTTCAACCACAAGATCTTGCTTATTTTGAACCCCCTTATCTAGTTGTATAGCTCTCTAAGCATCTTTAACAGTTGTTCTTCTTTATATACCACCGGATTCCTTAAACGTCTTCTCTTTTGTAGCTGCTTTTCATGACTTGTATATAATATCTCATTCTCCTTAGCAAGTATACTAAAATCTGTTATTGCAGGCTCGCAACCTAGAAGAAGCTGCTGTAGTAGAGATCCTGCAGGTGAAATTGGGCTTGCTTCAGATCTGAAGTAGTTGCTCCACGGTATTGATGCTCTTAAGATGTCTTATATTGTGTGAAGTTTGGAGCAGTGAGCCACTTGACTGGCTATCCGGAGATGGTATTGTTTTTAAGCGAATATTTAGTATCGGACACTCCTAGGATGTAAAGAAACCAGACCTGTTTCTCTAAACCCACTGAGAGCATTCAATCATGATAGAGCATGTTGGTGGGCTTTAGGATAGACATCTAGGAAGTCAAGTTTGTTGTCGACAATGTTCCGGCTGCGGTGTTTTTGCTTCTCAATTATTTTACTATACACGCGTTTAGGTGTACTGAAATAACTAATATGAAGAGGTTGAAACAGACGGGATGAATGAACAGGCATATGAATAGAAATAACCTCATTTGCAGCACAGATTTGGTCAAACTCGGGGATTAGATGGCTGCCATGGCTGTCGAGGACTGGGGGGCTGTATCTTCCCACTGATCTGTCCCTGATCAACGGAAGTTTTTTGAGGCTATTGAATATAATCATATCTGCAATTTGACCATAATAGCTGACCTCAATCCTGCAGGTAGAAAGATTTGGATTGATCTTTATTCTATGCTTGAAGATGCGTTTTGTCTCTGAAGATTAGAGTCGGAGGTAAAGCCTCTCCATTAAACTGAACAACTTAATTGTAATTACCCGTTCGCGATTCCCTGGTTGATTTTGAGTTGGCCGACCAGCTCTGGGAACTAGTCAGTATATTTGTAGTCCCAATTATTCCTATAGTAGAATCCGTTTCATCAAAGTTGTATATATCGTCTGGTGAGATCCCATGCTCTTGAGTAACCTCTTGAACCCGAATGAGCCAGTCTTTTATAATTTCGGGGTCTTCTGTTTAGCTCTTTAGTAATTATATTATCTACGAAATTATAGTTGCAGAGCTTTATAGCCCTTAACAAAAGCTGGACGCCCATTTGATGCCTACTTCTTCGGATGTTGTATGATCTCGATTGAAGAAGATTATACTGGTTATGATTCTGACTTGAGACGGCTGGGGACTTGCGTCTTACTTATCTAGAGAGAAAGTCTGTTTAAAAAGCGATTCGTCTTCATATTTCGATGATTTTGGACGTGTATGAACCTTAACTTCAATGAAGTCTCGTCCTGCTAAACGAGCGTGAAGGGTGATTTGAGGGACATTGTGAACACGTGCTGCCTCGCGAATACTAGAAATTTGGTCTTCCTGGATAGCTTGAAAGACAAGAAGAATCTTTCCTTCTTTCTTCACCAGCACTTTTGATGAGATAGGCATTTTTTATAGCATAAGTGATGTTTGAATTGCCTCGGTAGGAGATCGGAGGTGGTGTTTACGAAGGGTTGTGCCGCGCAACCGTGGAATACATTACATGTGACATATGCTGTGCGTCATACCGCATTACTACGCATCTTAAGGATCCCTAGTGCTTACTTCAGCTTGCACGTCTAATAAATGGTCAGGCTCATAGTGTTACTCCAGATGCTAGCCCTAGCTCCATGGGCCAAAGTGAATGGGTATATGAGCCTAACAAGAGTGATTACTTGCTTCGTCCAGATATCTTAACATGTCTATCCGGTTCGAACGATCCTGTTCCAAGGCGAGAGCGAAGTACATGCGGTCAAGTTGTAGGTCTCGGGCGGCGCTCAGCGCCCGCGTCCAATTCATCTGGTAATCAGCCTGACCGTAGGATTAGTAAACATAAGATTCGTTCCCACCTGCGACCGACGATGTAACGTTTTATTTTAAAAACACTTATATATGACTGGCAACATAGAACGCCAGTTCCTTAAAATGGATGTTCCATCGTCAAACGCACAAGGGTGGTCATGATTTCATCTCATTAGTCTACATCTCTCCAGTTGCTGAAATGTATGTCGAATGATAGATCTTTGGACATGGAATTCAATACTATGCCCTGAGCGCAGGTCGCCCATCTGGGCCGTGATGGCGAGCAATGGCGGGTGCCTTGTACCCTATCACTTGTGTTGTCTGTTGTGGCGCACGGACCTTAAGTGGTCCGGGCGATGGCCTTAAGCACAGCATTGCCCTCTAGCTCATCAGGCGATAATTCGTACCGTCCGCTTTGGGAAGCTTAGAATCGTGGAAATGAGACATTTTCATCTGCCAAGGTCAAGCTATGATTGGTAGATACGGTAACCGCTCCCAGCTTTGACAACAAATTCGGAGAAGTCCTAGCGCCCGAGTCCCACCAATCAAACATCGCCAGATTTTGCTACCTGATGTCTGCGGTTCAATGAGCCTTGTAGCTTTTTCCGCACGTCCCTCTTGTCACCCTAGGTCTGGCACACCATTTCCGCTGCACTAACCTACATCCTTCCATTATACCCTGCTCTACGCGCTCACAGTACAGTACAAACTCCAGCCGTTCATGTTGGGAGACCCAAAAAATGGAATGAAAGGTCCAATCTTATTGTATAATTTTTGTACGCATGCATCGATTCGTTCGACTTGCCTTCAGAAGGCCCCAAGGGCAGCAATAGAATTGTGGAGCGCTGCGCAGCACACCCAAATGACAGTTTAATGAGCGGGGAAGCCTACGAGCTGATCAGATAATCATTGAGCCACGGCGCTAACCTCGACCAATCGGGTGCAAACTTGTGGGGTTTTATCGATATTAGGAGCGATAGTTCAAGTCGTACGTCTTCAACCAAGGAATTATCTGACGGCTTCATTCAAGCCCGTTACAACCATCCCACAGGGCAACCTAAAGATCACACAGCAGACATTGATCATGGCAGATCCTTTGAGCATTGCTGCCTCGGTGCTGGCTGTAATCACAGCCGCTGTTCAGTCGACCAAGTCGCTCCAGGGTACTGTAAAGCGCTTCCGGAACCGCGATAAGACACTACGCCGGCTTCAGAATGAGCTTGAGGACCTCACGAATATTCTGGAATCTTTGCAACAGGTTACAAATAATGAGAGGTCAATGTTGGCACTTCTCCAAGGTCCTATCGACCGGTGCAACCAGATATGCAGCGAATTTGAATAGTCAATCAAGGTTTTCAGTGGGAAGTCAACGACGGGTCTTCTTGATTGGGCAAAAATGGAATTCATGAGAGGCGACATCAATGAATTCATTGACACTATTGCGGGGTATAAGTCAACGATCTCGGTGGGATTAGGAACTATTACTATGTCAGTCACAAGATCCTGTTCCCTTCACTTTGCTAACGTCTTTCATGAAGACACTCTTCCAAGGTGCCGCAGAAAGTTCTCGAAGAGTATAATGAGATGATCCAGGACACGGCATACAATCTTGAGCTCCACTTACGCCGAATTGATGAGAAGCTGGCGCAACTTACTACCGAAGAAATCAATGCCTCAGACATAAGCCTAAATCTGGAAGACGAAAGGGACGTGACTAAGCAGTGTCTTCGTGTCTGTGAAGATGCCAAGTCCTATATCGAATCATTGGAGACCAGAGAATCGGCGATACTCAGCAACTCATTCGGAAGTGCCACTGAGAATGATATGCAAAATATGTTCGAAGCACAATTCTTAACACGGCAAGCTTTGGAGAAGAACCGAGATAGCTTTGCGGAAATTATTGGCCACCTTCAGAAGCGCCTGGAATCACAAGTTCTGAGCGGTAGTAAGAACGAGAAGGAGAGGTTGGGGCTGCAGGAAGATATCCAGACATCAAAGCAATGCTTAGAAGTGTGCAAAGTGGCGAGTGAAATCTCCTGTCAGAAAATCTTCAGAATTGGAGAGGTGGTTGCAGATGGTGACAGCGATCAAGTAGTAGTGACTACTCTAGCGGATCTTTTCGATATAAGAAAAGCCCAATCCAAAGGAAACTCTGCGCAGCTAGTTGGGTCAATGACGGAAGAGGCTCTTCGACATCTAACTGAAAAACGCTACAGCAGCCGTTTTGCGGCGTTGGATACTCGGTCCGCCGATGTTGTCAGTACCAGTTCACCGTCGGTCCTCGAAACTCGGAGGGGGGATTATTCAGCTGGAACTAGCGACGAGGAACAAAATGCGGTACCGATGATAAGACGCAACAAGCCGTCTCCTAATGAGATGAGGAAGCGAGCGATGGCTAGTGGTGCAAAGAGCAAGCACACTGAGTAGAAGACTGGAGGGGAGGAATTTATTGATGTTAGTCTGGAGATATCTTTAACACCAGAAACCTCGATCCTGGGAATTGCACTGCCGTATACATATGTCTCACATATAGTTGCGGTCATCATTAGCCATTCTGCTCACATGGATATTTCTTTGCTCTTCAACATGCCGAGCGCACTGTACGCAATAAGAGACGCCCACACCTTCACAACTAATAAGAGTATGTGTGGAAGACGTCTCTAAGATACCCAGTTCAAGACTTGATAGAATTGTCCCTCATAAAGACGTTTTAAGCACTTTTATTTTCTCTGTACTGAGAACTACTGCGTATGTAAAAGTGGGTGCTCAAGTGCTGAAGTGCCGATGCAAATCTTGAATAAGTAGTGAAATGTGAAGTTATGTGATACTAACTTGGATATGTTGTAATCAGTAACATTTATAGCTGTAGATATTATGGTTCTTGACAGCCGTTTGCTCAAAGTCTTGTTCCATTAGTAAGTAGGGGGTGTTTTGTTGACAAGTACCCTGAACTAGGATTACTATCAGCAATTCTCGTGCCCAGGGCACAAGCACCTGATTCTATGGTACTTAAGAAGAATTCATGTTTATCAAAATGAGAACATCTTATAGTTTTGGAAATCCGCTTGAATACAAAGCGTGGAGAGAAACGTCTTCGATAATTGTTCTCAGCCTGAGTGCTTAAATATAGGTCATACAGTTAAATGATAAAACGTTCATTCATCCTACTTGCGATAGATGAGTTGGAAATGACAATTTCATGTCAAAAAGATCGCTAAACGAGCTGTGCCAGCAACTCTTGTTTCCACGTGATCGGAATGATGCCAACCGATCCCGTTATTCCATGATGTAATTCGGACGTACGATAACTAACACTGTTAATGAGGAAGGTGGGCCTACGGCCCTACCTTTTTCCGGCAGCGTTCAGCAGGTTGTCGTTCTTCCTACTAACACCTCGCTTCATAAAATTTAGACAAGCTACACAGTCTATGTACAGCTAGTCAAACATATTTTGCTCAACCTGATCGTTGCTTCAATGCCTTCTGCCCTCCGTTAGATTGTTTCAAACTCGTACTGCTGCAAACAGCATCCACACCCGAACACAAATGCAATAGTGCAACTTCCTACTCGTCTGATTAAAAGGCTCTTCCATGTCAGGGACAATGATAAATGACATAAATGACGAATCTCGGGTCTCAAATCAAACACCTCAAACTTCAGCAGCAGGTCATGTTGCCCGCCGGCCGTCTCAATATTATGCCAACCATTTCGAGGATATCATTGCAGACGAGAATGTTTTTCAACTGATTGGTTCTTCCAGTGGGCAAACGACGATGGCCAAAACCGTCTCCGCCAAGGCGCACGCAACTCAATGTTTTGGGGATGTGTCCGATACCACATTCCAGCAGATCTCGAAGGATCGCTCCCGCAGCACAGAGAAGGGAAAAGTTGAGGGCCAGCATGATAGTGTACGCCATGATGCAGTTGGGCCCGGACGAAGGCTGGGCCGTGATACCTAAAGTATCTTAAAAAATTTTTTGTGTATGTCTGATTCTACTTTGTGGCAAACTTTTCTTATTCTGGCGAGAGATACAATTAACGAGCGGCACACATCCGAGTGACTGATGTGACGGCTACTCGCTCCGGCTGCTTTGTGGTCCAGTCCAGTCCCATACCTGCTCAGGGTTACTTTTCGGGTCTTGCGGGATATGTAGATACGTTCTGTCTACTCATAACCGATAGCTTCGTTTCATTTTTACGGATATCCAGTCATGTCTTGGTTAAGCCGAATTGCCGTATGACAGAAGACTTTCAATTAGGTTTCAAATCTTTGAATATGAAGTTTACGAACTAAGGTCTTTGTTCAGGTTTCAGTGGTTTAGCAATACAACCAAAATCCTGGACGTATTCCACGATCTCGCGGCCTATCCTGTAATCTCATGTAAAAGATATATTCCCAATAATAATGATAATTTTCGATTATTCCAACGAAAAGAAGCTAAGAATTCATGTTTCGATTAACCATATTGACCGAATAAAAAATAATGTACCAATGCCTACGGGACACCAAACGAGTAACAGTCTATCCATGCAGGAGACTAAGCCTTGGGGGCCAGTAGTAGCAGCTAGTATATTACTATAATATAAAGTAGAAAACATTTTCACAGTAACATTAATGATCTTATAACTCCAGACAGTGCTTGATCCCACCTTCTGTAGCTTTCATAGCTAAAATATATAGAGCATTATGACAGCAGTAGGTTGCCTCACAAGACAAGAGCGGTCTCCTAAGCCTTCTGGGCCTTATCGGCTGCCATTTGTTCATTACATGAATGACAAGCACTAAATCCTGCCAGAAACTTTTAGAAGGTTATAGAAACATCTGAAAAATACTAATAATTAGTTCCTCAGAATATTCTGTTATATCATAAATAATAGCTATATCTATATTAGTATTAATCTCCTATAGTTGTTCATTGTTAGGAACGCTATAAAAAGAAAAAGATAAGAAAACAGATATCTTAGTATATGGCATCAGACGATGAACCGCGCGATTGTGGAGCACGTTGAGATATGTCATCTAATAAATACAGCTAGCTTTAAATGACATGGACTGTTAGGTTGCTAACCAGGTACCTTCTAATCTAATAAGATGGCTCGATAGCTAGGAAAGGCGAAAGATAAAATATTCTGTTAGAACGCTATGCAAGAGAGAACACAAGAGGCAAAGGCGCGAACCCGATTCCCCGACATGTACCAATGTTGATCCTCATGGTATATTATGCGTGAAAATGTGCATAGAAGATTCTCAGACTTCTAATCGCGCTCCTTAGTTTTGGTGATGAAGGATGATCGAGTTGCATGTGTTGAACAAGCTGAAGCTCCATTACTAATAACAGCGTGCCAGGGTGCAAGCGGCCCGGGAACTTATCAGCGCTGCTGAAAACATTTGAAAGTGCACTAAAACGTTCCCGCTAGTTCTGCGATGTCCTATTAATAGACGTTTTACGGGGAAAGCTACTGGTTGCGGTTGCGGTTTCATCGAATCATAGATTACGATCCCCCTACGAGATTAGGTGATAGAGAAATGAGTCATCGCTCTGGAATGTCAAGGTGGGAGATTTTTAACCCCTCGAGAAAAGAATTTTCATTCTTATCACAGAGAACATATGCTGACCTTTCAATGTTTGCCATTAGTCTGACTGGTGGAAGTCCGAATGAGCCACTAAAAACCACAAGTTAGCTACGTTCACATTGAAATAAGAGTTACTCCCCCCTGGCTACCCCTATGTTTGATGAAAGCTCACACCGGGTTCCGCATCAAGTTCACTAGATGATTCTAGCACACGATGAGCGTTTAGAGGTCCCTCCTAATCGTTTTTCAACTCGTAATATCTGTTTACCGAAGATAACCGCCACAATAGGCGTTGATCAACATTCACGGAGTCTCCGTACGGATTGCTTGGGACAGTACGGGTAACGAGTCCCTCTTCTGTACGTGTCAATCATGCATCATGATTGGCCAAACCGCGGCGCCAACGGCCATACGTCTGTCATTGATTGGGCTGCCTGACTTCGAAACCTAAACTAAGCCTTCTCTTTCGGAGGTCTAGATGGGAGAATGAGATAAGTCGTCTTCCAGGGGCGGCTCTGGTCGACTTTCGTATTGACAGTTGCGTATTTTATTGCGGGGTCTTGGACTGCTGGTAGCGAAGCTCAGTACTACCATGTGTATTTTCGCTACGATCGCATTCGGATCGTATATAAAATCCTCAGCTCAAACCAAATGTAACAAGTCTCTACTTTGGCAGGGCTTCATTATTTCCCATGAAGGATATAGGGATGCAGTAAATGCTTGATGAGGTCGCAACATATCTGTCCCTCCGGTTTCCGTTGTGATTGCAAATGGGACGTGAAACGGACGGTCATTACATTTGATACGTAATCTTGTATCTCCCAATCGCAGCGTTTCTGTAGCCGCCCGGCCTATTCACAGGGAGCCTCGTGCTTGACCCGCTGATGATGATTAAATCTAGGAGCCAGAGGATTATTTCCAGATTGAACCACACCTTCCAAGACATATAGTTGAACCTCTGACATATTTATCTCTTTGACGTCTTACCTGTCAGTTTCAATCCCCTCTTCCAGGCCGAACGAATCAATATGGCGGATGCTCTCTCCGTGGCCTCCAGCTTGATCGCGCTTGCGACTTTCGCCTTTGAAGCGAGCAAATCGCTCTATGCTCTAGTCGAGGGCTTCAAAAACACGCAGCGAACAGTTCGTGAGCTACGGTATGAATTGGAATCTTTGACACAGGTCCTCGGCACCTTAATCTCGGCAGTAATGGACAATGAAGCCGAGCTGGCCAGCTTGAAGTTACCTCTTCTGCGATGTGGGAAAATATGCAGCGAGTTCAGAGAGATTATTCGCAAATGTGTAGCCCATTCTAACGGCCAACGCACAAGCTTTCGTGACTGGGCTAAATTACAGTACATGGGTGGGAATATTAATGATCTGAAAACAACGCTTGCTGGTTATAAAGCAACTATCTCTATCGCTCTCGGGGGCGCCACATTGTAAGATATATGGGTCCTACAATGCCTATGAGACACTGACTCATTATACTCAGTCGTCAAGCCACTGTTGCCAGCGCTGTCATCGACCAGTATAAGACCATGATCGAGGAAGCAACGTCTGACCTTCAGGAGCATCTACAAAACATTGAGGAAAGGTTGCAATCGCTCGATCAGCACGGGGATCCTGTTCAAAGGTCTGATACTTTTCACTTACAAGACATAAGGGAGGAGAAGGAAAGCACTGAGCAATGCCTGACAATATGTACTCATGTTGCGCAAGTCATTGCACACTTCCAGCAACAGCTTCCGCAATTCCATTCTAAGGGTGAGAATATATCTATACAGTTTGGTTCTGGCAATGATGATATATCCGGTCAATCCCAGAACCTGACCAGCGCTATGCTCACTGACTTTGGCGCAAGAGTCTCATCAAACTCGGAGGCACTCCAGGCGCGTTTGATGGAACTGACAAACCGACTGAGACAAATGTCGGAACAGGGCATAATGTATAAGGATCCCACAAACTTGAATCTCATCAAGGAGGAGAGGGAAAGCATTATCCAATGTCTTAATGTCTGTTCAGAGGCCTCCGACTTGGCACACAGAGCCCGCACAAATATCTTTGAGGACGTGACATCTTCAGATGAGTCACATCAGCTCGTGGTATCTACCATTGGAGATCTGATTTCCGCCAAGCATATCATCACTGGCTCGAAATCGGCGCAGTGGTTGGGCCAAATGTCAGACACTTCGCTACAGCAATTATCTCGGGACTTCCGTGGACAAGTCGGGATAGGAGAAGAGCCACCCTCGCGGGCAGAGAAAAATGAATTCAATACCCGCTACGGGTCTGGTCAGCTGCTCGGAGAAGACTCTCCAAGGCGCCGAACATCTCCCAGCGACAAACGTTAAATACATGTGGTCAACGTGCATCCTACTTCTCTCAGTGGGTCATCTCTTGCAGCTCTGCCAGACTGTCGTCAACCGAAGAAGATTGTTTCATCCTATCCACCAGATCACGGACATCCTGATCTGCACCGCTTTTGAATGTCTGAATCACCATCACCAGGGCGTTTCTGTATCTTTCTGTTGCCTTTTCAGCATGTCGCAGAGCTTCTTTTCTTCGTCGGTCTTTAGAGGGCTCGAATACACAAGTTCGCCCAGAATGAACACATGTTTCGCAGGATGGAGGACCAGTGCACTATAATTAGTTAGTCTCATCAATGTGAGTTTAGTTCATTAACCTTAATGTGTTTTCTCCGGCAATTTGTGCACGCGAATGATCTGCGCTTGGATGGAGCATGGACGGGAGAGTGGGTGTGGCCTACTTTCCCAAGGGAGACTTTAGGGAGCAGCTGTCGGTGTGGATATTCTGATGTCTCTTTGTTCATGGTGAATATCGGTTGGCTTTGATGGATTGAACTGCCCAGTAAATATGATTGGCTGATACTGGCGCTTCTCATCCGGTATGTGATGATAGGAAGATGGCGGAGGGACAGATGGTCTTGAAGAGACAATGCTGGACTACATTGCACAGTAGTGTCTACTATATACGTAGCGAAGCATGTTTGCTTCCAGAGAAACACTGGGGCTAAGCCTGTTCGACCTGGTTCCGCTAAGCCTGTCAAACAAAGAACAGCCTATCAGCCTCCCTCAACCAGCGTCGGTGTTACCTTGCTAAACTCGACAGATCATCTTCGGCAGAAAGGGGCTATCAAATAAGCTGACTTTTCTGTCCCATGGGAGATTTCGGCGTTCCAGGCGCGATATTGCGATTTGGTGAAAAGATACTGTTATCCGTGCCAGTAAGGATAAGCGAAGAGTGGAGGGAACAATAAGCATCGAACGGCACACTATGTAACTCGCCGTGAAGTATAACAAAGAAGCTTTAAGGGGTATCGTGTTATCCATGGCCCTGAGAAATACGAGGCTAAGAAAACAACCACACGGCACTATCGATACTATTGACAACGAGGTCAGATCTGTCCAGTCTCACGAAGAACTTGATGGCGCGCCCGAGTCCAGGTACTGTTGCTTATGTAAGTCATTATGGGCGTTGAACGCATCGTAAGAAATATAATCCAGGTCTTCAAAGGCTGGAGCAGGCGTAGTTCCCAGAAGCGCAGTGGGTGGTGTCGCACAAACCACACCCATTCCGGTGCAGGTGCTCTCAGGGGCTGCACGTTGGCGGACCTCGCGGCATAACCAAGCCGGCCTGGAATAAGATTATTCCGAGATGTATCCCTTTTGAGACCAGCTTTTCTGCTACTAGTCAAGATGGTACAGATAGGAGGCGGTACTTGTCTTAATTTTTATTTTTATCCTTTTTGCACCATCATTGAAGGTGCTCAGAGAGTTATACAACAAGAAGGGGTTCGGAAATAAGCAAGTTCCAGAGATTGAGGCTGAGGTTGAGCAGCTCCCTCAACCTCCAAAAAGCCCCTCATGCGTGTCTCTACGCTGTATAGATAACTTCAGTATTGACCATAGACGTACACAGTGCTCTAAAACACCTAGTAATTAGACATCTAGTATTTATATATGATCTTGTCTTGATTGAAAGGCTTCATTTTGATTCTATTGGGTAATCGTACCAGAGGGGTGGGCCGCGCGAACGTGGATTATGTTATCCGAGGATTCCAACAATGACTAGATGATGACTAAGCAATTGAGTCCCAGAGTAGGTGGATAGGAACGATGATATGCTCCTACAAGACTAACACAGAGCATTGGCTACAAACTGACCCAGTGGACTCTATTATGGAAATTGAAGGAGGGCCAAAGTGGCCAACAAACTAAACGACGCAAAAGTGTAAGTTTGACTTAGGTAAATATCCAAGATATAGCCAGTCAGGAGTCTAATGCGTTTTTGCGACCTACTTGAAAGAATTTGCCTAGAGAAAGACTTTGCACTCAATACATTATAATAACGATGCATAAACATGTGATAAAATAGATTGATAATTACATGATCTGACTGGTATGGAAACCGCGAGAGAGTATCTATTTCATGAAGCTTTCTCCTTGGGTGTGGGCAGCTGCCAGAGACTGAAAGCTGTCCGGCAGCCTATCGAGCCATTAGTGTTGTCTGAGCTGATGTGAAATATAGCCTTGTCTATGTGTCTCTCGTGTAATCCTAGTTTGTTGGTATCTAATAATTTAAATGGGTGCATCTGACTTATAATATTAATTGGAGTGCAGAATTACGAAAGTGTAGCTGTACTAGGCCTATGACATGTCTGGGAGCTTGGACTTCCCGAAGGAGGAAGGAAGGTGAAGTCAGCTATGGTCATGAGGCTTAGGGCGGGATGTTGTAAGATAATGCATATTTAGTTGAGCCTGTATAATCCGTGTAATACTAATCTAATGGTGTGAATCGTGTGCATTGAGGTTTAATTGAAAGGGAAAGGCAGTCTATCATGGATTGATATTATTGATTCAGAAATACGGAGGCATTGACAAGGCAGAATGGTGAGTGTGGAGTCTGGATGCTGCATGATCAGAAGTTGCGGACCGTGAAGGCTACCAAAATTTAAATATTTAAAAGCACGAGTAGGTCATGCCCAGTGCTCTACCTTCTGTTATATATCATCTCTCTTTCAAAAACTTGGCTCAATCAGTGTTATAACATGGAGCTCATAAATTGGTATCTTGGTAGGAGAAAAAGTAAGGGACCAGGCCCCGCGCCATTGTTTCTCTCTAAGCTGATGATATGATAGTCCATCAAATAACCTTGTCTGATGAGACCTGTTCAAACATAATTTGTTACAAAAGTTTCTGTCTGGTCAACATAAGTCAACCTACCTTAGTGGAAGGTCCTGTATCATTGCCATCAAGACTTGTTCTAACGCCTCAGCTGCATCCTGCCCCGGTCGGTCTCTTGCTACCATGTGTGGCGGGACCGACTTTATCTTATAGTGTTATTAGCCCCTCATGCAAGATATGTGGGGTTCCGACTTTCGTTAAAGTTGTCAAACTGTGGAACCAAAACGGGCACAGTGGCCGGAGTTATTATTCATGTGGAAGGTGTGGAGCATTCTGTAGCTGGGCTGATTCGATAGGCATCTCTGGTAAGAATCCATGGTGTCTGTGTAATTAGCCAAGCAGGTGGGGAGAAAGTGGCAGGGAAAAGCAGTGCAAAGGATTCTTTAATTGTGCTACAGGTGACTGCAGCTTTTTTGTGGAAGCACATGCCGAGATCTGTATCCCTTCCATGCCTGAGCTATAGGATGGAGTGTAATCTAATGATTTAAAATATAACTACAGTTCAAATATTGTAATCAATCTCCTATGTAAAATGACTGGCAGGTTTCTCTCTGTTTGGGCTATTACGGGTAAACTAGCTCATTTATGAAAAGGGTGTCAATCACCGTCTCTGTTAATGAGACAATGCTTGAACAAGCTCTGATGAGGAATGCTTTTTAATAAGTCTACTAGGTCAATATTACTATTACTCTGCTTTGGTGCTTGAAGCCCTGCATTGTCACTGTACCAACAGATAAAGTAGCATAATAAACAGAAAGCTGAGAAGCTGCAAATTATTTGATGTATTTTCGCGCTTCGAATTCAAGTTCCTATTAATCCCAGATTCTAGCTTGCTGCCTCTGATATTCAGCACACCTGTCCAAGGTCGAAAGACAGATATCCAGCATGAAATTGGGAACGGATGCCAAAAGACTGTTGCAGAATATAGGATCATCCCCACTCCTCAAAGCCTTGAGATTATCGGTCGTGAGCTGGACAACAAGATCTCTTAGGCCACGGTCGTGCTCTCCTGTTGAGCTGTAAACTTCAATGACGGAGGAGCTGAATGAATGTTAGTCAGGATGTTCCAAGAAGGATTTCATAAAGTAGTCCTTTGCTTTCTTTTTAAGCTCGTTGATCTGAAAATAATCACCTTGTGCGTAAATTTGAGCGTGAAAGAAGGCATGACAGCTCTGCAAATTTGTGGTATTGGGTTTTCGAGATGGTTTTGAATATTGTTCAGTGTCTGCATCGAACTCGTCATTTTCTGTCCATGTTTGGGGCGAGCATTCAGAACTATTTTTTGGTGGGATTGCTATCCTCAATGATGATCTCACCGTTGCTGTCCTATAATTATTAGCGTCAACTTCATGATAACGGCTGATAAGAAATGGAGTGCCTCACCTTGAACTGGCTACTACAAGTGATCTCAAAATACTTTGATTGGGGACAGAGTATGTTCTGATGGGCTGGAAAGATTTCATTGCCACATTTGATAGATAAATTGCTGTACTTTGGATTGAGAAATTGACCAATTTGAATGTCAGTAATTATATGAGATAAGATTCCATTGTAGTATCTAACCTAAGGACCAGGTCTTTCATTTTCCTGACAATTTGTTCATTTACAGAAACCGGCTCCGTAGGTACAACAGCTGTATCAGCGGATTTGGATACTGCTGACTTTCCTTTCTTTTTTCCTTTTTTCCCTATCAAGGGTTCGTGGACCTATTCAGGTAGGAGAAGGTGGGTCCTATAAAAAACAAAAGAAAAGGTTATTGTTGCCGCTATTTATGAACAAGCAAATGCGAGCTGCTGTGTGGGAGCCCAGGAATCAATTCAGTTATCAGGCTCTTGCTGGTATGATGCTTTGCCCGGTGTGATGGTATATGTAGGTCTCACATGACGTAGCCATGCATCAGCCATCACCGTCAGAATATGCTAATAGAAATGGTAAAGTAAGATTAGAAAGGCTATGGAATAGTACCCACTCACCCTACAAATCCCGACTCCGGATCTGATCTTAATCTATAATATGGCTGCTTATTTGGGGTATGAAGCTTGTCTGAGTAGTCAGAGTAAGAAGAAAATAAAACTTCTAATGTTCTCTGGTTTATAATAAGTTGATAGCCAGCTGTGTTTTCTTGCATAGAAGGTGTTTTTTTTTTCAGCGGTTATTGCAAGTAATCCTGATCTGACTGGCTACATGTGTCATCCCACTAATTGCCTATTTTTACTTATTCTTTAATTGGCTGCTCCATGCCGGCAGGAGCTATGATGCGGTACGACGCAGTTGCTTTTTATATGTCTTAAAGTCTGTGGACAAACTGCATCTCTACAGGTAGTATTTCTTGCAGGGAAGGTACGGTACTTGTTAATGATATCCTCTATATTTGGCTATTTGCAAGCAGTTGTAGTATTTGGATTTGACTAGTACTCTGGTTGCTTAGTAGCTACCAAGATGAAGTATAAACTGGCTAAATTAGGACTTGAGGTATAGTATCTCACCGGAAGCTTATATTGGAAGTAAATAGGTATTTACTATTTAGTTCTATTGTGGCTAGCCTGTAAGAGAGAAGAATATGAAAGATTCTGGTTATAATATGCAAGGATTAAGGGCTGTACTAAAACAAGGAAACCATTGGAATCTGTAATTATGTACGCTGCGGGTGAGCTGTCGATATGGTTCTAGAGAAGGCTAATAATTTCAGAGATATACAAGCGGGGTTGTGAATTAAATCAAGGCCTTATTTGAAACATGCTATATTGATTTGCTTCTTCCTACTGTCTGTGTTATATATTTATTAAGACAGATTCTTTTCTCTCCAGCACTATCGTGAATACCTTGTCCTTAATAGGTTTCAGTTAGAGTTTGATATGATGCCACTGCCTAGGCTAAAGAGACAATGAGTAGCTAGGAAGCCTGAGAGTTTAAGATCAGTATTTTTTACTAAGAAGCTTTATTACAAGTATAATCTGACAGTAAGTTACAGATCTTATTTAATGGGATGGTTACTTCCACTGCCGGATTATCTGATCTGTAATATTCTTTATCTGAGTAAACGGCTATCATGTATACTAGTTAAACTTGTTAGTATTTTAAAAAGAAGATAGAGAAAATGTGAAAATGAAGTAATACTAGCTATTCAGATAAGGATGAGACTTTTCTATATGTTATTAGAAGAACTAGACTGTGCTGTTAAAGTATACTTCAGTGATGGTCTTCTTGTTGCTTTAACTAGAATTATTATTTTTTAATAGTCTGTATTATGTAGGGAATTTATAATTTTTCTGGGAGAGAACTCTTTATTGATTGAGACTTTTGCTGCTGAATGCTTGCCTTAGAATTCCTGTAAGCTTGTTATTATATTTGTTTTATTATTTACTTCCTTACGAGAGTTACAAGTTATGTACATGGCTGTGAAATAGTAATCATGTTCTTTAGGTGGGCTTCCTACTATTATGGATATCTTAAGCATGAATTTATTTGATCTGCCCAAGTAATTCTCCCAGGTTAAGAAAGTGGTAATTGATGATAAAATCAGCAAGACCACTGTGCTAGGCGTGAGTCTTGTTAATATAGAAATGATTGAATATGGTGAGTGCTGCAGCTGTGACATGAATTATATATCTTTTGTACACTGCTTTGTTCTGGTTATAGAAAGAGAGGGTTTCCGGGTATACTAGGCATGGGGTGAGCACGGCTACTGCCTGGATGAGTACTTGAAGCGGGGTGGTTTATAACTTTGATCCTGATAAGAGGTGATAACTTTCTTGAAGAGCTTTTAGAAACTCTGTTATTATTTGGTAAGTCTGATGCTCTTCCATAGCCTGGATTCTGTAATTAACCTTTTTAGGAACCTTGGACGCGTGAACTGAAGGATGCTTATTATATCTGTTTTAAAATAGATCTTGATTTAATTTATGGGAGGTGGTGTCTATAGGCTTTTTTTGTTCCTGTGTATTGAGCATGGGTGAGAATATTCAAGATTAATAATGTTTAAGTGGAGGATATCCAGAAGTTTAGATAGAGATATATGGTGTGATAATTACCAGGAAAGAGTTTGCTTAAGATTATGGTAATATTCAAATAATTTATTATGCTCTATAATTATAATTAAGTTGATTATATGGTTCCTCTCTTTATATATCTTTCGCATTAAATGCCCGACTAATATGATATAAGATAGTAGCTGATAGATTGTTGTTTATATATACAGTTTATATATTCTTGTACTGTGCCAGAGACTGTTAATTAGTAGATTACTTAGTAAATCCTGTCAGTAAAGCCTTTCAGTACAGTTAGTTAATCTTATATAAAGAGTATCTGGCTCTTATACTTAGATCTTCTCTTCTAAGAACTACTGAAGATAGCTAATTATTAATAAATACTGAAGGCTTAAACTTATTAAGGCGGAACATATTACCTGACTGTACTATAAAAAGCTAGTTATATAAAATATTAGGCAAGTCTTTCCAGACTTTAACTGAAGATAGAAAAATTTTTTATTAGTACTAGCTTACTCTCTGCCCAAGCCTATAGCAGTATCAGATAATCTTTTATATTTTCTTGTTACTTATATGGCCTATTGCAATTTAGTATTTGCTGATAAGAAGTAATAATTATATATCTTAGCTGGTCTTAATCTATCAAGCATTTTTATCTGCCAAGTAGTATTATTATTTAATATAAGACATACTGTCAACATTCAACCTGATGGATAATCCTTGGAAATTTCTGGATTTAAGAATTCTAGTAATTATATAAAATATAAGAGCTTTTTAATAAGTCAGAAGACAAGGTACTCTCTGAGATTTCTAGCTATATAATAGATAAAGACACTGAGATAAGTAAGTTAGAAGAAATTAATCTAAATAATATTTTCAGCCACCACTCCAAGCTGGAAACTGTGAGTGATGTTAACTGTAATTTAGATATATCTAGTATTATAAATGACAGGTATCTTGAGGATAATAAAGAAACTAATACTATTTTTTAAAGATATATTGAATTCTATATTATCTGTAATCTGATTTCTAGTAAATACTATATCCTTGCTGCTATCATAACACTACTTTATATAAAAGATAAGAACTGAAAGCCGAGCATGTAAGTACTAGATCTAAAGCAGATTATATTAATCATCTACTTATATAAATATAGGATGAGGTTTGTGATCAAACATGAGAAAAACCTGATATTCAACCTATTAGGTCAGCTGATGGCGTTGGCTATCAACAATGATATATTTATCATGACTGAAAGATGTGGCAGAAATCTACACTGTACCCATTCCTGCGCACTAAAAAAATAATCAGATAAAAATAAAGAGAGACAAATTAGATATTCCAATATTTCAGGAGCCCGAGCATACTGCAGAGAACTATTAAATATCTGATAATTAACTACTCAAGTTGTAGGCATGGAGTCGCATCCTTAAATAACTTAGAATTTGGGTGGGTCAGGCGTGTAATCTGACACAGAAAATGCTTTACCAGGGTAGAATCAATATAATTAACAGTATATTTCCAGTAACATGGATGTTGATCCTTATTACTAAATACTTTATAAATAGACCAAGCCCTATCATCTATTCATGATAAAGTTGCAGATCATGAGTCTAATACTATCAAATATTAGCTCAATAAAATAGTAGACTTTGACACCGCAGCAGCACTTCACAAGCGACCATCAAATGAAATTGTACAGCAGGAACTTCACTCAGCAACACTTTGGCAGACCATACCGCCCCAATCGGCCTCACGGATGCATAGTCTCAGAAGATATCCCAGAATCCGGAAATACAGCGCTTGAGAAGGATTTCCCAGGGGCTCACAGCCAGGATCCGTGCAATGGGCCTCACTATCAAGGATACAGCAAGGACAGAGGCCAGTGAACAGAAAAGACAAGCAGACTCAGAGCTGAACAGCATACTCACATATCTCCGAGACAAAGCCAAGGAGCAAAACCAAAAGAAACATTTCAGGAATACCAATACAGCAATTTTTAATCAATAATATAAGGGCACTTCTGGAGCCGCAAGCAGCAACAGACAGAGCCAGCTGCCTCACTATTATCATTTCTCTGAACTGGCAGAGCTCATCCGTCTTCTGTACTACTCCGCGCTCGCGGAAACAACAGAGGATGCCCACCATCATCGGCTCAAGTATGTACAGCTTCTAGTCCGCTGGCAGCGTCAAAAGGAAAGCCCACATCGAGGAAAACGGGCAGCCGTCTCAATACAAAAATTGCCGACCCTGACACCACCGAAGGCCAGGGCTTAGTTATTTGTGGATTTTTTACAGCACTATGTCGATCCTATTCGGGTTACACACACACACATAATTCATTAACGCCCGGCGGCTCAGCCAAAAGGGCAACTATCACTAATTTATCAACAGGAAGTCTAATATATATCTGCAGTATCTCCTTTAAGCCTATACATAGATCCTTTTAATATATATCCTCTCAGCTATCACTATCATAGAAATCCCTGTAAGTTAGTATATTTATTAGTAGACTAGCTTGAAGATACTTCTTCAAGTATTCAACATCCTATCCTCAGCAGTTGAAGTGTGTCTACTATCTGTAATACAGGGTGGTTAGTATAGATTAATTAGGAGAAAGGTGTCAATATCTTGGTTGACATAATTAGATAGTGTCAAGTCGGCCCGTAGTAATGGCAAATTGTATTGAGACTTATACTGTCTCCAAGTTTAGTATCTATTACTGATTATTAGAAGACAATTTCCTGCCCAGGCAGAGGGAGAGATTGCCCCGCTGAGTTCAAGTATATTGTAGCAATAAGATTCATTGTATGGTCCACTTCTAATACCAGAAGAGAAAATGCTCTACAGTTTCTCTTGCTTGTCTATATACATACTGGTCTGTCTATATAATATTAATCTGATAAAGATATCTATTTAATCTAGCCATGCCGGTCTAGAATTGAGCCAGTATAGTTATTTCTTTCCATAATAATCTGTCATACAGTTATCAGGTATACTTTCCTGAGAGTATAGTATTTATTTATTTAATATATCTTTCTATATTCTCTGGCAAGACTTTTATAGTAATTACTTAAGATTATATGAGATTTAACATTATTGACTTTATTCTAGGAATCTGTATTTATAGAATAATATCCTCATGGATTATGGCTCAGGCCTGTTTCTTAGTTAGGTCCAGTAATTTATTATCTTTATTAATAGGGATCTAAAGTATTCTGATATGGTTTTCTTTTCTCTATAGTCTGTTTATTAGTTTATATATATAACAGATAAACTCCTGGCCTGACTGTTATTAAGGATTCTATAATATAAGGGCTGTAGCTGTTACAGACCCCTGCTAGTTAAGCTACTAGTGAGGCGGACTCGTCAGGCAGAAAGTGCTGGTAAAGACAGTACTCAGACAAACAGTAATACTTATCAAGGAGAATTCCAGATTACTTTTATGACACCCAGAATAGCCATGTATTACATGACTATGAATATATAGAATAGTACACAGACAGGTATATAATATATAATATACAGTATATAGAAAGGTATACTACTTGGTATATAGAGAATAAGATATATAAGAATACTTATTTATATACTTAGTTAATTCTGTTCTTCGTGCTTAATTCATATTATTTTTAAGTAATCTATTTTTAAAAGCTTAGTAATATAATACTTGTCTGTACTTATTTACAGATAATTATATAATATTATCTAGTCTTACTTCTCTTTTTTTATTCAAGATTAGTTATCTTACATAAATTATTAGTTTAATATTATCTTGATCCAGTTTAATAGAATATATATTAATAAAACTAAGTTAATAGGAACAAGAAAATAATTCTAGAATTTAATATATTAAGTACTAGTCAGTACAAGTATTTATTAATATAAATATCTATTATGTTAATTATCTTAAGCTTATTATATATTCTGTAATAGAATTCCAGTATTTAAGAAGAAGAATAGTAATAGAACCTGATAATACAGGAATTAATAAATATAGTTAATTAATTATAAAAAAGTATTATTACCTTGAAATAATAGAACTAGATATTTAAAGATTATTTTTAATAGTTAAGTCTGTCAAGATCAGACCACCAGAACTATTTAATAGTAGTAGATTAAAGTTTAGGGCTTTCTTGATCTAATTAGACTTATATCTTAATATAAATAAAGAAAAATTTAAAAATAAGATTAATAAGGTCTTCTTTATGTTCATCTACCTGACCGGAATAGTATTTAACTAGTTTAAACCATATATTTATAAATATTAAAAGAAACCAGTGGAGGATTAGGATGATAATATTAAGAAAATATTTATTAATTATACTAAATTTAAAGAATATCTTGAATAAATATTTAGAAATATTAATATAATATATAATACTGAATAAAAACTATGGTAACTCAAGTAAACTGGATCAGTATTTAAATATATCTCTGAGTTTTTATAAGTTATCAGTTATCTGGACTAGAATAAGAATACTTATATTATATAATTTAAAAAAAGACTTAAGATAGAGATTTAAGAAAAATTTATTTAATAAAAATAATTAGATACCTTGCAATAAATGATTATAATAATAATTAAAATTAATAATAAATTATATAAGTATAATATGAAACAGAAGAAAGATTAATAAATTAGTAAATCTATATTTTAATAAAATAATTAATAGAATTACTAAGTTAATAATAAACAGTCAGTACAGTCTAGAAGCCTGGGATATAAAGATCTCTATAAACTAAAATTAATAGAGCTAGATATAATATAATACTAGATTTAATTAAACAGAGTCTCCAAAAAAAAGCTTAAAAAATATAAAAAAGATTATTTATATTTTAACTGCAGTAAGGCAGGTCATCAGTTAAAGAATTATAAATAAAAATAGTAATAGTCTTAAAAATAGCTAAAAGCTATTAACAAAGACTAGGCCAGAGGAGTTTATAATATTATTAATAGATAACCAGAAGTCTGGATAGAAACTAAATTATTAAATAATAAGGAATAATAAATTATATAATAAGAATAACTACTAGTACTAGTAAACAGGATATATTAGAACTAGTTAAAATAATAGATTAATATAGATAAGTTAATAGTATTAATAAAGCTATAAGAAATCTACTAACTATCTGAATAATTTAATTAGTTTATAGAAATTAATAATAATAATAAACCAGTACTAGAGAATAAATATTCTAATATAGTTTAAAATAAGTTTAGTTCTTTAAATAAAAAATATAATACTTAGTTAGAAGGCCTTAGACCTAGTAAAAAGAGATTTAATAAATTATCTAATATTTTAAAAAAATCTTTATTAAAAATTAATAAACCATGCCTGATACAGCGGGATGAAGATAAAGAAAATTAAAAAGATAATAAAAGTAATATCTCTTATTAATTAAATTATATTATAAAAGAATTTAAGAAGAATTCAGTATAATTTTATCTAGGATTCAAGAAAATCATATAGTATTGTCTGTATTAGGATCTAAGATATTAAAAAATATAAAATAATAATTAAAGACTATATCTGCAGAGATATCTTCATTAGGGTTTTAGGGTTTTTAGGGTTTAGGGTTT